GTTTGGCCAGAGCAGCTGGTCAGCCAGGCCCTGAGGCTTCCAGTTCCTCAAAATGCCCAGCACTGGAGATTCCAGCCCACTCCAAGTTTTACCACCCAGAGATCGGGGTGGCCCTCCCTTGGGGCCCTGGCCGTAGCACCCACCCGCATCAGCAGGTATGCAGGAGACCTTCCTCGCCCGCCCCAAGCCTGGAGTCAGAAACTGGGCAGATGCGCCCAGCGGCTGGGTCACCAAAAAGGGCAAGCCCACAGAGCACTGGTGCAGGGCCGGGCGCTAACTACACCACCTACAAAACCTCACGTCAGCTCCAAGCCCCAAGAAACAGGTCCCATGAGGATCCCCATTTCCCAGAGAGGGCAACTGAGGCTTGACCCATTTGGCAACCCGTAAACAGCAAGACCGGACTGGAAGCCAGTGCTTCCCGATTCTGAGCACTGCTACGGCCACCCTGTTCGCCGAGCCTGAGGCCAGGTAAGGGCCGCAGCTCACCAGTCCTGCTTCTGGCAACTGCCCCGTCCCCGAGCGACTCTTTAGTCCCATTCTCCGTGTCTGCATGGGCCACCATGTTGGCAGCCTCAGGGACGCAGGGCCGGTCCCTTCCACATCCTGAGACCGAAAGTGAGGACCCATCCCCAGATGCCACAGGAAGCCGGCAAGAGAGGATGAAGGCCAAGACACCCAATGAGATACCTGAGAAGGTTCGAGGTGAGGGAAGAATACTTGACACACTTTTCATGGGTCTGTGGCTGTCCCCTGAGATGGGACTATCTTCTCAAGGCTCATTTTGGTCTGTTCTGTGTTTTGAAATCCCACCAGACATTAAATAAGCCCCCCAAAGCCCAGGTAACAAGGTCAACATAAGCATTTTAAAAGCCACAGCCATGTTCCCAGCAGCAAGATCCCGAGCTGTTGTAACCTGGAAGTAACCCAAGCATTCAGAGGTTGGATAGAATAGTATTTAGCCATGAAAAGGAAAGAAATCAGGACACACGCTACAGTGTGGGTGAACCTGAGGACATGATGTTCGGTGAAAAAGCCAGACTCAAAGGACACACACACGCTGCCAAGAGCTCCCTACAGTCATCAGAGCCACAGAGACAGGAAGTAGAACGGTGCAAACCAGGGGCTGGGGAGCTTGTGTTCCAAGGGAGCAGAGTTTCAGTCAAGAGAGAAGAGAAAGTTCTAGAGCCAGATGGATGGTGAGACAGGGGAGGGAATGTGCTGAACGCCGGTGACCTGTGCGCTTGAAGTGCGTTCAATGGCCCCTTTCACGTTATGTATATTTTACAATAAAGAAACTGAGTTTCAAGCAGCACAAAGGCAAAAAGCCTCGCGTGGTGGCATGGGCCTCAGAGCATCTGGAAGGCTGAGGCAGGAGGATCGCCACGAGTTCAAGGCCAGCCTGGGCTACCTAGGAGACTCTGTCTCAAAAAACCCCAAAGCAAAAACAAGAAAAGCAGAACAAGGTCAGGGCTGAGCTGAGCTCAACTCACGGGGGCGGCTGCTCAAAAGTCGATCATTTCTTGACTCCATGAACAGGCACGAGATGACACACAGGGGACCCCAGCACAGGAGAGGCGGGGGGCGGATGGCAGGATCCAGGTCCCCAGTCCCTACGGCTGCCCCTTTCCCCGGCGACAAATGGAAAAGCAAGCCTGGTTCTCAACAATAAAAGATTTTTAAATTTCCATTTAAAAAACTCCTTGGAACATCAGAGAGCAGGAGACTCAAGTGCAGATAGTCCCAGTCCGAGGATTTTGACTAAAATGGATACAGAAATAAATCCACAAAGGCATGGCTTACATTCTACCTCAGGACACAAACATTTCAAACAAGCACTTAAATTTGGAGAAATCAATGCTGGCAAAAGAATTTCTTTGTTGTTGTTTTTTCTTTTCTTTTTATTTTGGTTTTTCTGTGTTGTTTTGTGTTTTGTTTTGGGGGGTTATTTTGAGACAGGGTCTCACTCTGTTGCTCAGGCTGGTCTAGAACTCTTGGGCTCAAGTGATCCTCCTGCCTCAGCCTCCCAAATAGTTGGGCCTATTATACACATCACCTTGCCAAGATTCTCCATTCTTTACCCTGGTGCCCCTGCTAGAAGCAGCTCCGCTGCTTCTAAAACAGAGTGGACAGCCCCACCGCCACTATAAAAAATTAAAAAAAAATTAGGATTTTTTTGTGTGTCTTACAAAGAGTTGGTGCAAACCCCAGCTCTGGTTTTATTAGCTGTGTGGCCTTGGGCAAGCTAAGTAACCTCTCTGGTCACTAACAGGAGGATAACTGCACACTCTCGTTAACACAGCAGACCTCTCGTACAGGGTGACACCCTCCCCTCTCCATCAGCGAATACCATCTGGCCTCCCACATCCACCCTTCAATAGATCACCACTCCCTCCAGGCTCAGAAATCCCCTGTTCTACAGAGCTGTTTGTGTTCTTCACCCTCCCTTCTGCACCCAACTCCCTCCTCTTTTGCATCTTCCCCACCTATTTGACCTCAGGTGAAAAGACCTCCTATCTCCTCCCCTCTCCTATCTTTTGTGATACAACCCTGGAGCCACGCACTCACTTTCACTGACCCCTTTCTCCCCTTCACTGATTCTTCCCAACGACTTTTACAATGTGTGAAAAAGGCCAATAAAGCAATGAAGGAGCGATGAATATGCGCAGGGCACAGCTTCCTCGGACAGGAAAACATTATCAAGCTGATACTGGGAACAGTAAGGCCCTGGGTGCAAAGAAAAACAGCCACGAAACTGGGGTGCTTTCTGCCATAAACACCACTGAGACCCCGACCTGTTATTTACGTAAATCATACACACGGATAGATCCCAAGTGTTGAGGACGAAAAAAAAATTTTTTAACCGTCGTGATTAAAACTTGGGTGGAAAATTGCCTCATGGGTAGAAAGAGGCTTTGCTGGCATCAAGTACCAAAAGGAGAGGCGAAAACCCAGCCCTGAGCATCCCGGAGCCTCAGCGGCACTGAACAAGGCCTGTGTCCGCAGGCAAACATCACGAAGTCAAGGCGCGGACAGATTCAACTCGCAAACTCCACAAATTATAAACAAAGAGCAAAATGAAAGATCGGAAAGAGGAAGCAGGGAGATGGAGCCTTCTCAAAGGGGAAGAGGATGAAGGCATGGGGGCTGGAGCGGGGAGAAAAGGAACGAAGGTGTGTTGGGAGCGAGCACCAGCTCCACACGGGGAACGCAAACACTACGTACCGCAAGCAGGGACTAATAAAAATCTGAAAAACCACTGAGGTATTAAAAGATAAATGGACTGGGCCGGGGATTTAGCTCAGTGGTTTCACCACCTGCTGCGGAAGCCCAAGGACCTGAGTTCGATCCCCGGTACCAAAAAAAAAAAAAAAAAGATAAGTGGACAAAGGATATGAGCAAGAAAAGAAAACCCAAGTGATAAGCCTTTTTTAAAAGGTACAACACCGGATAGCAATCAAAGCAATGCAAAGAGAAACCATCTCAACACCCGGCCTCCTCCCAGACCTGAGAAAATTATGAAAGAATTTGCAAACACCACTCGAGGCTGGCCAGAGTGTCCCCCTCTGTCCAACACTACAAGGAGCGGCCGTGGGTACAGCATTTCCGGAAAGACATGCGGCATTGGGGAACCAGAACCTCTGACCCAGAAATTGTACTTCTGGAAAACAGGCCTGAAGAAATAAATGCTAGATAAAGCTTGAACCCCGGAATGTCTCGATGGAAACTGAAAATGACCCAAATGCAATCCCAGAGAAGGTTAAAGACATTAACACACAATAGGTCTGTTGAGTACTCACTAGAAGGAAGTATCCCCAATAAACGATGATCATCAAGGTTCCCTGTGGCCTAAGACACATATTTTGCTTTCTACACAGTTCTTTTGCCAAATGCCCATCATGGTCAATTTGACTTTTATATTCAAAGAAAAAATAAATTCATACTCTGCCATTCTTCTCCTTCTCTCATGGAAGAGGAACATAGGGGCATTCATTGTCTGGCATAGAAGGTAGCAAATGATGAACCCCTGGGTAAAATATGGCCCGCCCACGACTTGTCTGTGCAAATAAAGTTTTATTGAGGCCCCGCCCCACCATGTGTTTACACCTGCCCATGGCTGCTTGCCCACTGCAACAGTGGGGTTCACTACACGAGCCTCTCCCTATCCAAGGTTCCACCTCACACGATTTCAGTTACCCACAGTCAACTGTGGTCTGAAAATACTGAATGGAAAATCCCAGAAATAAACAAGTTTTCATAGTGTGCTGTGGCATGATGCAATCTCTAGCCACCCTGCTCTGTCCCACCTGGGACATGAATCGTCCCTCTGTCCAGCATTCTCACCCTTTAGTAACTTAGTAGCCTTCGAGGTTATCAGATTGAGAGTCACAGTGCCACCGTGCTTGAGCAGTGATGTTACAGAACACTTTGTACAGTATATGACTCCAAGTGTTCTAGTATATCGTTAGTCATTGTTGCCCATCTCTTCTTGTGCCTACTTTATAAATTAAACTTCACCATAAGTATGTACGTATCAGAAGAAACCATATTGGGCTCAGTACTGCTTGTGGCCTCAGAGATTTTGAAGCAGATTGTCCGAGGCAGAAGTCTCCAGGTCCCCAGTGTCTGGTCCGTGAGGACCCCAGCCACACAGCAGGAACTGAGCTCTGGGGGACCGAGGCAGCTTTATCTGAATTTCTAGACGCTCCCCATAGGAGCAGGAACCCTGTCATCTGCATATTCAAGGGATCCAGAGCGGAAGTTCCATAGAACCATCCTGTAACCATCTCGCCAGCCCACTCGGGGAGAAACTGCCCTAATGAAACTGGTCCCTGGTACCAAAAAGGTCAGGAACCTCTGCCTCCCGGATAAAGGGGCCACTGTGCCCAAAGCAGTCACAATTCAAAAGCCCTGCTGAACGTTCGCCACCTCTAACCTGCGAAGGCCCTTACCTCACAGCCTCCATTTGGAAGGCAGAGGAGAACCCGGGTCCCACGTACCTTTCTGACAGTGACTGTGAGTCCAGCACCGCTCTATGAATTGCCCGTTGATGACAGTGGCGGGACAGTTGGTCTTGCCCTTCGTGGTGCCTGGGCAGATGTCTCCACACTCCTCATTGTCATCTTTGTTCAGCACGATGTAGTTGTCCTCCACAGAATCCAGGATGCGGGACCAGTCGATGGTGGCCAAGTAGCAGAGCTCATTGTTCTTCTCGATGCGCACGGAGCCCCGCGTGATGTTCATGAGGCTGTAGAGCCCCAGCTCCTTCAGATGGACCATCTCGAAGATGACCAGCGCGTAGTTGAAGAAGAGGCGGGAGCCACGGATGACCGTGAGGTTGGGGAACAGGTCCTTCAGGCTCTCAAGGCCATATACCCGGAAGAGCAGCAAGTAATCGGTGATCATGACCAGTTTGGGGAAACTGAGGTCTCGGAAGTCTTCTGGCTTCGTCTTGAACATCAAGAGGATCTGCAAATGTCCCTCGATGATGGAGCAGTTCTCCAGCCTGTGCAGCCTGGTGAGGTTGTTCCGGATGTCCATGCCCGGACACACTAGAAGCGGAAGGAAGAGAAAAGCAAGATGGGTGAGCAGACACGCCCCGAGCAGGTGAGAACACTGAGGGCTGGTCCCCACTCTGGGTGACGTGAGCAATAAACACGGCATCAGACACTTCCTCCCCATCCTGATCCCATGTGCCTTGGATTCGGGCCCAGTATTGTAAGGTAATTCTATTTTTAGTGCATTGAGGAAGGTCCATAGTGTTTCCTGTAAATCCTAACCCTAACAACTCACATTCCCACTGACAGCGTCCACCCTTTCCCCCGTTCTCACCGGCCTTGGTTATTTACTGTCTTTTGGTAACAGCTATCAGACCAAAGGTCCATGGGTAGAGGAATGGATAAAGGAAATGCAGCACAGACACGTGGTGGAAGAGGACTCGGCCCCACAAGGGGTGGGATTCTGCCTCTCGCAGCACATGGCTGATCGTGGAGCGTAGTGTGTTAAGGCACAGGAAGACAGATGTGGAATCTCAAAAGGCTATTTTCATAGACTCAAAGCAGAGCGGTGGATATCAGAGGTTGAGGAGGGGAAGGAGGAGGAAAGAAGCCGGTCACGGGACAAAGTTACAAGTGGAAGGAACCAGTTCTGTTGTTCTAGTACCCTGGATAGTGTGGTCAGTGAGCCTCACAGTGTTGTGCAAGAAATGATCAAATCACTCGGTGAATGCTTAAATTTTTTAAAACGTATGACAGGCAAAGACACATTGCCATTAATGCCCCTCAAAATCCTCCACCTTGCCTCAAACACACTTAACCCAACATTCTTGCCACTTTCTGAAGCAGTTCTGGAAGTCCCTCCAGGTAAGTGTGTTTGAAGAAGGATTCATGGCAATGTCTTTTACTGTAATAATTCTTTAATTTAAATAGTCACTAATTTTTCACTCACACTTCAATATTCCAGAATAGCTGCAAGAGAAATTTCTTCTTCTTTCTTTTTTTTGGTACCGGGGATTGAACTCGGGACCTTGCATTTTTGAGGCAGGCGGGGGAACCACTGAGCTAAATCCCCAGCTACAAGAGATATTTCTAATGCTCTTGCCACAAAGAAATAATAAACGTCAGAGGCATTGATCACACACACTGTAAACGTGTTATGAAATTATCACACTGTCCTGTATCCATATGTACAACAACCTCCATGTCCACTGAAATGATTTAAAAATAAATTTAGAAGGGCCGGGGATTTAGCTCAGTGGTTCCGCCACCTGTCTTGAAAGCGCAAGGACCCGAGTTCAATCCCCGGTACCAAAATAAAATAAAATAAATTTAGAAACAAAGAAGAAAGAGGGACAGTGCCAGCCTGGTGCGTATGAGACCTGGCATTGAGTCTCAAATCCTGCAGCAGCCCCGTGAGCGCCTTTCCCTAAAGCGCCCACCCCTAAGTTATGACTTTCGAAAGGCAAAGAAAGTAACTCCTTTGGCAAGCTCCGTCGAAGCCTCAAAATCATCATCCTGCTCTGACCCAACGGGGACAACAGGATTAAGCGGCGTTGAGCAACACAGCAGGTGCGGAGAGAAAGGGAAAGGGCACCGTGTGCCTGGCACGTCCACCAGGAAGACCTTCAGGAAATGGCCAGTGGGGACAGAGGTGCCCGCATCCACAACGGGACCTGGAAGGCTGGACACGTTTGTGTTGTTCCTGGCTGACTCCGCTTCCAGGCCTGCCTCCCTGGCTCACGATCAAGGCCTAATTACCTTTCACCTGGGTGGGGCAAGCGCTTTCCCAAGGAGTCGGATCCCGGTGGGTGCCGGCTGCACAAACATCCTATGGGCTCCTCCTCCTAAAGGTGGGGCCTCCCAGGCTCCGACACCCGCTGTGGCTCCCCAGGACCCTGTACTTCACTGTCACAGCCCTCAGGATCCCACCCCTTCCCCTGAGCCACACTGAACAGCCCTGCCAACTGCGCTCACCCAACTCCCAGACCCTGCGTCCCCTGTCACACGCCCCGTGAGGGGAAATAAATGCAATCAGACAGGACAGGCGCTAGGCACACCCCTGACCTAGGCACCGGCCGTGCTGTTGTTGATTTCCCCGGATGTACGCGGTCCTCTCTGAGCTGGTCAAACCCCTTTATGCCTTAGTTCCCTAAGTGCTGCCCATCAATCATGCTTCAAGATCCAGCTCAAATGCCTCCTCCTATAGGCAGCCCGGCCTGACTGCCTTTCCTCGGATGCCTATTTGGGTCTTTCCCCTCACCTGTGCCCCACACCTGTGAGTTAACACTTGGCAGAGCCTCCCTGCCCACACACACACACACACACACACACACACACACACACGCACACACACGCAGGCACTCAGAACCCGGAATATAAGGCTTAGTACACACCCCTGCTTGTTTTATTCCAAGACACTAAACCTGCATCCAATACCTTTGAGGCAAACAGACGGTTCCAGGGAAGACTCTCTTAAAATCCACCCTGAGAACCACCCACAAAAGAAGCAGATTAGAAAGAAACTGCAAAAGCAAACAATCGCTTAGGGAGGAGAAAGTCACGGTGTCCCTGGCTTGCAGTCCGTGCAGAACGGATGAAGCCGCACACTCGCTCGAGGGGAAGGAGCAGAGAAAGGCCCCGTGCCCAGCGCTCAGACACGGCCACTTTCTCTGACATTTGCTGTCCCTGGACTGAACCCACCAGCACCCCACAGGAGCCCAGCCCAGCCCGGAAGGCAGATTCAAGGGACAGGAACGCCAGCTCCAGCCAGTCACACCTGCAGCATCCACACTGCACCACCAAGGCCACCCAAGGAGCCCCATCCCTGCAGGGGATGAGAAAAGCCAAGCTCTGAGTGCTGGTGTGAGACAGAGCAGCAGGGACAGGCAGGGTGGCCAGAGTTAGCAATTACATGTGAATTTCAGATTTTTTAAAAAAATAAATCTTTCGGGGCCGGGGATTTAGCTCAGTGGTTTTGCCGCCTGCTGCACAAGTGCAAGGACCCGAGTTCGATCCTTGGTACCAAAAATAAATAAATAGATAGATAAATCTTTCATCAGGCATGGTGCAGCACATCTGTAATCCCAGCATTTGGGAGGCTGAAGCAGGAGGATCGCTGCAAGTTCAAGACCAGCCTGGGCTACAAAGTGAGTTCAAAGTGAGTTTTGTCTCAAAAAGACAAAAACATAAAATACAACACAATAAAATAAAATTTTTCAAAATAAATATATCCCATGCACTGTTTGGGATATACTGAAGCTTAAAAGTTACTCTTTGTACAGCCAGGCATGGTGGTGCTTGCCTGTAATCCCAGGACTCTCAGAGAGGCTGTGGCAGGAGGATCACAATTTCAAGCCCAGCTTGGGCAATTTAGCAGCTTAGTGAGACTATTTCAAAAACTGCTGGGTGTTGTGGTGAATGATTTTCATCCTGGCATTCAGGAGGCTGAAGCAGGAGGATCACTGTCACTTTGAGACCAGGCTGGGCTACATAGTGAATTTAGTACCAGCCTGAAGTACATAGTGAAACCTCTTTCAAAAATAAATAAAATAACATAAGAAGGGCTAAGGATGTAGCTCATTGTGAAGGCTCTGAGTTCAATTGCCAGAACACACACATACACAAAAAAGAACTTAATTTTCTTATATGAAATTCACATTTAAATGGGAGTCCTATATTCCACAGGCCTCATTTCTGGGCTTCTCAAACTCGAACTTCACAGTCTGTATTTTATGACACAGAGACACACACTACAAAGAACACCTGTCCACCTGTCCAACCTGTCTCGGGCTATGGAGGAGCCAAAGTCAGAACAAGTGTGCACCCAAAGATGAACTGGCCATAGGACACCAGGAAACGCCAGTGTAATTTCCATCATGAAACACCACTGGGTCCCTGCTGGGATGGGTATGATCTGAGACACAGATGTGTGTTGACAAAGATGCAGACACCAAGCCCTCAGAAATTCCTGGCGGGGATGTTAAAGGTGCAGCCACTTGGGGAAAGTCTAGCGGTTCCTCAAAATATTAAATGAAGAGCTGTCATAAAACCCAGCAATTTCACTCCTGGGTATATACCCCAAAAAAGGAAAAGAATTTGTATTCAAATGTCTATTACAGAGCTCTTCAGGAAAGCCCAAACTGGAAGACAGCTGTAATGGCTTAGACCTAAAATGTCCCCCAAAATTCTTGCGTGTTTGGAAGGTGACTGGATGGTGGGGGCACTATACTCATCCGCGGATTCATCCACACGAGTTCATGGCTGAATGGGAGATGGGGCCTGGTTGGAAGTGGCCCACTAGGACTGTGACCAGAAGGGTGGATCTCTGTCCCAACTCCTCCTTTCTCTGCTTCCTGGTCGCCATGATGTGGGCAGCTGCCCCGCCCAGGCCCTTCCGCCATCTTGTTTCTGCCTTGGACTCAGCCAACTGTGGACTAAAACCTTGAGCCAAAATAAACCTCGCCTCCTTTAAGCTACAGGTGTTGGGTATTGTGTCCCAGTGATTACGGAAATGTGACACAGACCCCCCCCCATATGCCCATCAAGGGGTAAATGAATAAACAAAATGTGGCACAGCCATACCAAGGAGGATTAGTTGGCCACAGAAAGGTACCTGCTCTGGTACCTGCCAGAACACGGATAGGGCCTGAAAAGTGACACACTCAATGAAAGGACCAGGCACAAAAGGCCACCAAGTGCATGATTCCATTGATATAAAATGCCCAGAATAGGCAAATTCACAGACAAAAAATAGATTCGTGGGTGCTGGGTGCTGGGGGAGGGGACTGGGAAATCAGCGCTGAAGGGTGTGGAGATTCTTTGGGGATCACGACAATGTTCTAAAATTGATGGTGGTGGTTGGACAACTCTGGATGTATTCGAGACCACCGAATTACATGCTTGAAGTGGGAGAATTATACGCAGGTGAACTCCACCTCACCAAGGTTGTTACAAATAAAAGTCAAACGGGCGTAACTTCAGGAGACCGTGAAGAATCGCTTGGCTTTCTCCAAGCTCCAGTTTGCTTTTTTTTTTTTTAATCTCCTGTTTGCTTT